AATAAAAGCAATGTGCTAGTAGATATATGATAGACTTTACTTACGGGTAATTACTTCTCAGTATTTTCTACTGGCACTCTTTACTTGCAAAAATTTTGTTTAGAAGACATCTATGGCACATCAAATCTGTTTTATAACATAAAATTAACGGAAAATGTCTCATTTTAACACTTTGATTCCAACTATTCAGAAGATTATCTGAGGAGAGTTGTATGGAAAAATAACATAATTAGAAGTATTACAGAAACCTGAGTTCAATTTTGTGCATTGGAGTTAGTCACTTCGGAGTCTTATTTTTCTTCACTCAAAATAATGTTTTTATGGGGTTGAACAAGACTCAGTTGTTACAAGTGTCTATATTTTCAAAACATACAGAAATAATAAGATGTTTCTGGAAACTTGGTATAATACAATAAATCTCAGATTTTGATGGGTATAAAATATATGACCCTGAAATGTCGTGGCTCCGCTCAAAAACACTTCACCTACCTCTTTCACCTGTACAGCATTTGCCCTTGATTATTCAGTGGTACTTTGTACATTTTCATTAAGTATTCATACACATCTGCTGTTTCAGTCCTTTTCCTGCTGGAAGATTGTTAGGTATTTGGTCCATGCAAATACCTTTTTATATCTCCAAAGTGCTATGCATATGTAGGTGCTATCATATACTTATTAAATGAATCTATTTATTCAAACTTTTCCGTTATTCACTTTCATTAAAGGCACCATTAAAATAGAAATATAAGGATAGTGAAGAGTACTGGTGTGCCACATTGCACAACTCTAAAAGATGCAATTTACGTCGAATGACACCCCTCTGGCATTAACTACTGCAACTCCAGATTGAACTGGCTGGTGTCAAGTAAACAGATATGTATCAATTAAGCTTACAATGGACACAAAGTGCCTTCCATTGTCTTATGTAAAACAGAGTTCATGCTGTTTTTGATTTTGAGAGATTATGAAGAAAATGGAATGGCATTCAATAAGGAAAGTATCCAATAATAGGTAGAAATGAAAGCCATTATACATTTGAGAAACGTTTGATAGACAAGCAAAGCATAAACATTTATTTATACAGTGTATAGCAATATCACATTTACTTGTACCTTAGATGTTCATCTTTTACCTTGAGGAAAATAACAACAAGCTGTACAATAATGTGGGTGTCAGACTAATACATACCATTGACAAGATTGTCACTGTGTTGCCTTTCTCATCTGATCCCAGCTGAAGACTTTGCTAGACGGGGGTCCAAAATTTACAGATGATCAGAGAAAGGCTGGCGTGCTAGAAAGCGCCATTGTCGATTCCTGTCTTATCTACATAAGAATGTGTGCTAAATCTTGTAATCAATATTGTACAAAATGGAAATCAATACTTAAGATTATTCTCCATATTGTCGTTATTTATTGTGGGTGTATTGGAAATTGATCTGGATTTGGGAGAGATGTGATTTGGAGCCCATGGCACTTAACATCTATAACCCAGGCAAGTCTTTTAATCTTCTCTGGCCTCAGTTTCCTCATCTTTCAAATAAAGATACTATTTTAAGTAAAACAGATTACAGTAAATGCTTTGCTAATTGTAAGACGACTTTGGAGTTAACCATTTGACACACATAGGTATCATTTTTTTATCGCGGCACAGGTATGTTCATAGTATAATTCCTTGGTTTGTTTAAGGAAGAAAACAGCAAAACAAAACAAATCAACAGAAATATATTTAATTTTGCCTAGGAAAATATATTCAATCCTTGATATTATATAAACTTTAATGAACAATATAAGTCTTCCAAACTGTTGATTTAAAAATAGTTTGGTAAGGTTAACATTTGAAGTTTCAGAAAGATACCAGGAATTTTAATAAATCAAAAGTAATTTCTTATAGAAAATTCGAGGAACCATAGAGTCTAAGACAACATAAATTAAAGATAGCTCGGAGGTGTTATTTCCATCACCCATTTGGCAACCCACTGAAAGCAGCAAAGGATGGTAACGCTTCATGGCCCCAAAGAATTCTTTGTTTTCATCTATCCCCTTACCTCACATACTAGCTCATTGTTCTTTTCCCAGACCTCGTATCCATATTTCGGCATGACTTAGTTATATCATCCACATATGCAAACTTAAGTGTGTCTCTCTGTGGGACGGTGGGAGAGAAACTGGCCTTTAGCACTGGTATATTCACAGCTATACGCTTGTGCAGTATAGATATAGAAAGGTTCCATTCCGCAGTATTGTTTTCTTTTCTACTCTCATAAAGGCCTAAATTTCTTTAGGACTGAGAAGACTTCTGGACTTCAGTTATCTGTTACACAGAAGGAGCTTCCAGACTTTTCACTTAAAGAGGCTAACATCATACTACACTTTTTTCCGCCTTTGAATCTGACGCCACGGCACTCACTCTAGCCTAGGCAACAAAGTGAGACACTGTCTCAAAAAAAAAAAAAAAAAAATTATTTTTTTCATTTCCTTTTTATTATGATTGTAAATATTTTACTCTAAAGCAGGTGAGTAATAAAGTATGTATTTTGGTTATTTAATTAAACATGATTTATTGCTATTAAAATAATCCTACATGTGCTTATAAAATTTAAATGCTTTTAAAATCTGAGCCAATTAAATGTAGATATGTTCAATACATTTAAATAAATTTTCTTTATGTTCTATAAATTAGTAGACATTAGTGTTATTTCTTGATAAGAAATGCCTAAACATCTTTCAGGAATAAAAGGTTTGCACAATATTTACATTTTCATTAGTTTTGAGCAATTCTAAAAAAAAGATTAAAATCACTAAAGCAGAACAACACAAGGAAGACCAAACAGATCTTTATGCTTATATAATAAAGTATGATTTAGAAAATACTTTTCTAGCATATAAATGAAACCAGGTTACTTATAATCATGGAAATCAGGGAACAGATAAGGTATGATGGCATTGTCAAAATATGGTCTACAAATCTGCAGACCACTTCATTAGGCTCTGCAGAAATATCATTCTGTAAGTTTTGAGTATTGAAAGAAAATACCCCAAAAAGATTTCCAAATATCACAGAATGAAAAAGATCTTTAAAAAAAATGATGGAATATCTGATTATGACACACACCAGGCCCTAGATATAGCATATTAACAACTATGCTTACAACAATCTTATTAAACCTAGAATAAAGTACACAATGATTTATTTTATACTTTGCTAAATCTGGCATTTTATCAAACACTTTTTCCTTTCCCTTTTAATTCCCTTTGCTGCTTTTAGTAGCCTCTCTAGATTGTGTTCAATAGGAAATGAGGCTCAAAATACATGATCAAGGATAAGAATATATTTACTTGATTCTATGCAGTGAAACAAAATAATTCTATTCAAGTACTTGTACATAGGGAAGGGAGAAGGAGTGTATGGGGTAAGGGGTTAGTAATTACTAAATGAACCATGGCTGCCCATATGAAAAGAAAATACCATAAGACAGAAGCATTCTGAAGTGAGCATTATTAATAATCATAATTGTATCACATCAGAATCAAAAGGGAGTAATTTTAACATGTATTTTCAAGGGATGTCTCCCTATCTCACACACGAATAAATGATGTGGGGTGGATGTTGAGTTATTATAGAAATATCTATTGAGTGGGAAGTTGGAAGTACTGATTTTATAAACTCAGGATCATCAATATGAGATAAAATTCACCATGTATCTATTACCATTACTTACCTTACTGATAGGATATATAATTACATTAACATTATGTCCTCATAAACATGTCTCAATCCCAAGAACATCACATTCTTTCCTCAAAAGATATAAAATGATATTCAACAATGCTTATGTACACAAAGTAATGCACTCATTTCTTATGTAGTTTCTTTACAACCATGTATAGATATCACAGGAAAACAGGGTATTACAAAAATATTAAAACTGCATATTACACCCAAAACATTTCAACACCTAAGACTTCTAAATATTCAGAAATCACTATAATTCATTTATATACATGTCACACTAGCTAAGCATCCTATAAAATGAGTCTGGATTTTTATTTTATATGTCTTAGGAAATCATCAGTCTTTTTCAGATACTTATGCTCCTCATACATAAATTCTGGGTTTTAAAAAGTTGAGAAATGCAAAGTGTAATCAGAAAAATTTTAATTATAGGTTTGTAGAGGTACAATCATATAGGATAATAACTTGATATTAATTATAGAAAGGTCTGTGCCAGGAAACATTAATTCTAAGACCTTCTCTCCTTTCCTAACCTATGTTACCATGTATTCTCTTTTTGGTATCAAAATTTGTGACTTCAGAAAACTAAATTTTTTCTTATACAACTCTTTGAGAAGAATCATCCCACCAAAGGAAAGAACATAACTAACTTGCTTAAGAACACAATGCTGGAACTTGATGGAGTTGCTAATTTGGGCCTATTAACAGAAAAGGCAAAGCTCCTTGAAAAGATAGTTTCAGGAGATGCTCCCTTTCTTAAATGTTGATTAAAAAAAAAGTTGGAAGTAACTGGAAAGTAATATATACTTCAGAGTATAAAAGCTATGCAGAAACTTCTCCATCTAAGTCACGCTTTTAGTGCATACCTCATTCTTGTGGCACAGGGAACATATAATGTGCTAATAAAATCTCTTAAGACTCTGCCCACAAAATTTTCCATCCTTCTCTGGTGGCAGATATTACAATACAGACTACGGCTTCAGAAGGGAGGGATCAGAGTACCCCTAACAAGGAAATGATAGTTCTTTATATGCAATTCCTCAGAAAATCACCTAATCCCTTTTTGGAAGAAATATATTTTCAAGTATGTGCACACACATATCCTAGAAATAGAAAAAAGCAAACAAACAAACAAACAAACAAAAAACATCTTCCAAGCAGACCTGTTCTTCAAAAGTTTATGTTCATGAAGGGCCTTTATATATTTCCCATTTGATTTAAATGAATCTTCATATGAAAACAAAAATACCAACATAGAGACTTACTCCGTCTTTTTCCAACATCTCCTTTGGAAGTTGCTGCTTCATTTAGAAGAACCATCCCCATGGTTATAGCAGCATCTGCAGTAGTTGTCAAGGAGACCGTAGAAATAGATGCAAATAAAATCTATTTTTCTGGATCCGAACACAGCGTTTCAGAATGGTTACATTACAAATGCACACATAGATACGTACAATTGATTACATAACATAAAATCACTATTCTTTGTGTATACAAATATGCCTTCATTTTTAAAATTTATAAGCTAAAACTTTGTGAGATTTTAAAAGTCTCATTTTAAAAGCTCTTAAATTCCAGGACTTTCACAGTGCATATAAATTACATGGACTCTCCAAAACCAGTTATTACATTTTACACTATACATAAAGATATGTACTACTTATAGTCAAATTGACACATTTCATTGGAAATCACAGAAAATTATAGTGTATTCAGCATGGTTTCTTTTTTTCACAATGTGTTTGTGTATGCTGGTATGCATCATAGCTTTCTTTTCCTGACTACTAAATGTGTTGTTTTATAGATTATTTTGTTGAGTTAGAGAGATCTTTACTAAGGTCAGGCATCATATCAGTTGGAAATTTGGGGGTATCCACTTATAAGGATTACAAAAGAAAACAAGCATATAATAAAAAAAACAATGTAATGAATTTAGCAAGATCCTGAGCTAGTCAGTTGACATTTTAAGAATGAGAACAAAAAATTATTTCTGACTTAACATCTTGCCACAGGATATGTTCACGCCATTCTGAAAGATGCCCCAAATTAAGAAAATGATAGCTTTTTACCTTTATGAAAACATTCTTTGCCATGTTATTAAAACATTTTTGACACTGTCTACTGTTTTAGAACTCATTGATTCTAGAAATATATAAATTATGTATTCTGCCCAAATGACTAATGAATTTAAAAAATGAAGGGAAAAATAAAACAATTCTAGGCCAGAAATTCCTTAATTTGCTTAATTAATTTTATTATGCTTTACTTATATTCATTTCTACTACTATATGTATAGAAACAACATTAACTGTCCTATGCTATATGTCTCTAAACGCCTTCTACTCCTAACAGCAAAAGTTCAAAGGATAATATTGGACTATGTCTTAAACAATTAAGTTGGAGGAAGTCAGAGAAAATTCTGCAGAGTAAATATTTCCGTGGTGACTGTTCTGATAACCATATTTTTGAACTTCTCATTATTAATAATGTGTTTTTATGACCATATAGTCCAACTTCTGGATAATAAATGCCTGTCTTGTTTAGTTGGGCATTTATGGTCACACTGACCTCTCTACAGAAATGGTTTTCAAACTATTTATTTTTATCATTGGGACCCCTTGTGGGAAAAAACTAAAAACAAAACTTTAGTTGGAAGCCAAAGAGAAAAAGCCCCCACCAGCCCTGTGTAATGCCAATGCCCTCCGCCATATATAACATAGTACCACTATTAAATTTTTAGAGATCTATGACATGCAGTTTGAAAACCACTGAAATTTAGATACTTACTTAATTCCTGGGTTTTACTTATGTAGCAACGGCCTGAAAAGGCTATCATAAGAGAATAACTGTTTTGTAGTCCAGTATGATAGTAAGTAGGCAGACTTTAAGGATTCATTATTCTTAAAAGCATTTTGCACAATCTACTCATATACATTGAGTCTACAGTCATAGGACATTACTAATAATAAAATGAAAGAAAAAATTAAAAACTTACATCACTAAAACTATATGTAGGGAATTTCTACTGCTAACTCAGTTTTTTGGAGCAGACAGATGTGACTGATGTGGATCTTTAACAAGACGACATTAGATTTCCTCTATAATCTTTCTCTGCAAGATCCTTTTATATTCAAGTATAAATTTTAACCTATACATTTAAATATACAAATTTAATCTGATAATTCAGATAGAATTTAATTCTAGATTATTTTAACTGTGACAAAATATATTTTTATAAATATTCAAAGTATAAATATTTAAAAATGAATTTATGTACATATTAAAACAAATTCATTTTATGATTGCATATGCTAAGTAACTTCCTCAATTCCATTAATAAATTGTGGGGAAAATGGCACTATTTCTATTACTGGGGAAAACAAGGTTCACAAAATTAAATGCTTGACAATTTTAATGAGAGCAAAGCCATATATTATTCTCAGGGTCAAATCTTATATACACAAACACATTTACACAAATAGATGTATCTATTTATAAACACAAAAACATGATCTTGGAGAAAAGTATATTACTCAAAAGTATATTTCACTGGACATAAATTATGGCAACCCAAGTATAACATTTCCCTATAAATGTATCTTCATATAATTTTTACTGCTCTCTTACATGTTGGAATTATACATGTTTATATCACAATGTTAAAAACTATGAGTAACATGTTTTTTGTTTAGATTGCTTTTGGATTTCACACAAATTCAATGTGGTGACAAATATATGATTTTTATACTCATATATGTCTTAATTTTTAATATTTATAACCTAAAACTTCACTTTGTGAGATTTTGAGAGTCTCATTCTAAATGTTCTTAAATTCCAAGACTTTCACAATGCATATAAATTCTCTCAAAACCAGTTATAATGTTTCACATTAAATATGTTCTAAAATTAGCAGAAACTAGTGTTGTTTCTTAATATCTAAACATCTTTTAAGAACAAAACATTTGCTTTATCTGACTGATAGCATTTAACTTGTTTCCAAATGTTGGCTATTACAAATATTCTTTCAAAGAATATCTTATTACAGGTCTCCTAGTGTACATGTACAATGTTTTCTCCAGGGCCTATACTTAGAGGTAAAATTTTTGAGGGTTTGGGTATGTGTATTTTCAAATTTGTTAGGTACAATCATATAGTCCTCTGAAATGAACAAAAAATTTCCATTTTTCTTACATTTTACTAACATAGTATTATTAGACTATTGATTTTATCAATAGTGATTTTATCAAAGTGAAGAGCTGTATTAATAGCTTGATTCTGAGTATGTTCATTCCTTTTATTGTTTAATCTTTCATGTATTGCTTATTCTTATTAACTTCTAGGACATCTTCACTGTTTTTTCTTGATATCAATCTTTTTTCCGATTAGATCCTTTTACTGCAAGGATATAGAGGTGTTTTTTGATTTTCATAGTGCTTGTGTTAATCTTAAAAAGTTGTCTGAAAATTACATTTCTATAAATTATTGTTTCATACAGATTCTCCTACTTTATGGTTTGTCTTACGTTATGTAGAGGAATTTAATTTTAATGTGGCCACATATATTAATCTTTTTCTTTATGAGTTTTGGTTGTTGTTTATTGCTTTTGAAATTAATTTCTACCCTTAGGTCTTTTTTTTTTTTTTTCTCCAGACAGAGTCTCATTCTGTTGCCCAGGCTAGAATGCTGTGGCATTAGCCTAGTTCACAGCAACCTCAAATACCTGAGTGAGTTCAAGCGATCCTACTGCCTAAGCCTCCCAAGTGGCTGGGATTACAGTAATGCTCATGCACCTCCATGCCCAGCTAATTTTTTCTCTCTATATTTTTAGTTGTCCAGCTAATTTCTTTCTGTATTTAGTAGAGACAGGGTCTTGGTCTTGCTCTTGCTTAGGCTGGTCTCGAATTCCTGAGCTCAAGCGATCCTCCTGCCTCAGCTGTCCAGAGTGCTAGGATCACAGGCCTGAGCCACAGGGCCCTGCCTCTACCCTTAGGTCTTAAAAACATCCTCTAGCCTTTTTTTTTTAATAGCTTCAAAGTCAGTCAGTTAATGTCATTCGGCTCAGAACACTCTACTAGCTTTTCATCTCACTCAGAGTAAAATCTAAACACCTTTAAATGCCCCGAGGCCATACATGATTTGCACTCCAACCCTCTGCCAATACTTCTCTGACCTTTTGCTCCTAACTCTTATCCTAGCTACTCTTCCAACAAGTCAGGCACTGCTCCACATCAGCACCTTTGACGTTGTTATTGCCACTGCCTGAAGTGCTCTTTGCCCAGATGTCCCTGTGACTCACTCCCCCTCGCGTCCATCAGGTCTCTGCTCAAATAAGATCTTATCAGAGAAGCCTCTTCTAACCTCTCTGTTTTCTTTATCCTGCTTTGTTTTTCTCTACAAGGTTGGTTTTTTTTTTTTGTTGTTTTTTTGAGGCAGAGTCTCACTTTGTTGCCCAGGCTAGAGTGAGTGCCGTGGCGTCAGCCTGGCTCACAGCAACCTCAATCTCCTGGGCTCAGCTATCCTCCTGCCTCAGCCTCCCGAGTAGCTGGGGCTACAGGCATGCGCCACCATGCCCAGCTAATTACAAGGTTGGTTTTTAAAGAACTTTCGGATTGTATATATATTTTTTATTTACTTTTGTCTCTCTCCTGGCCCTACAATGTTAGCTCCAAAAGGACAGGAAACTTTGTTTTGTATTTTTAAGATACAAAGAAACTTTGCATCTTACTCAGTACCAACAACCCTTTGATGCAAATATTATCAACTTCTGTTTACAAATAAGGAAACTGAAGCCCAGAGAGGTCTGAATAACTTGCTCAAAGTCACAAAACTAGGAAGTGAAAGACTCAAACCAAAAAAGCATAAATAAATGAAATAGGATGATATTAGCATTAGATAAAATGATAAGAGTGGGTTGAGGAACAAAATCAGGCCTGGCTCGGTGGTCAAACCTGTAGGCCTAGCACTTCTGGGAGGCTGAGGTACGAGGATCATTTGAGGTCGGGAGTTCAAGACCAGCCTGAATAAGAACGAGGAGACTAATAGAAAATTAGCCAGGCATGTGAGCTACACCGGCCATGGCACTCTAGCTCACTAGCCCAGCAACAGAGCGAGACTGGGGGGAGGTGGCGAGGGGGAACAACAAAAATCACTAGCTTGATTTTAGCATAAAATATCCTTATGTTAAACATAAAATCTTTTTATAAAGCACAGAGCATTAAAAGATATTTTACTACTCCAAGAATACATTCATATTACAGTTTACAAATAAGTTTGTGAATTACTCATAAAACTGTTTCAAACATGCTTATTTAGATTATGAGTTTATATCAATTCTTATATT